TTACTGTGTTTCAAATAACAAAATAATTATTCAGTTATGAATTAAATTGAAGACACAAAGTTTGGATTACAATTACTGAAGTTGTCGTCAAGGAGCTGTTACTGCGATTCACTGTGATCAAAGCACTAACTCTGCATGTGATCCTGTACAAGAGCTCCAAAGCACTCCCGCTCTTAAAGGTTCCCAGTAGAGTGGGGAGACTTCGCATCTGGGAAATTCCAGTAGTCCAGCAGTAGAGATTTTCCACAGGCGCCTATCTCCACAGCTGCTGGTGAGGAGGATGCTGGGACTTTTACATCTCACGTGGCAACAGGATGATGGCAACGTCCGGAATCCTGTAGTCCTGACCTCCTGCCACTTCCTGTGTGTGGTGAGTTCTCTAGGCAGACAGCAATATGAAGAAGCTTAGAGAATAGATCTCGAGGAATATAGAAGATATCCGGCACATGTTTGCACTACAAACCACGGATTTAATTAGCCAGCAATTTAGAACCTTTACAGGTACAAAGTGGCTTCATAAGGCTGCCATGTGTAGACTCTGCGACGGCCCATGGGTTCCCCAAGGGAGTGTGCAGCTGCACGTGACACTCTCCACTCTGGCAGAGCCGTGAGATTTGAGAAAGTGGCCAAAGTGTTTCTGGGTGATGGAAGTGTGGGTGGGACATGCTGGACAGAAGGATCACAAACAGTGGCCTTAACGAGAAAGGCAAGGTATGTTCTAGAAACCAAGAAAGGCAAGGACTGCACAGAATCAGGGCAAGAAGAAAGGAACAGAATAGTAGTGGAAATATAGTTTTATAATAGAAATTATAAAGGTGGCTTGGGAACCCCGACAGATGTCATTCATTAAGACACAGGACACTGAGAAACGGTCCCTGAGTGTGGTTTTGGGCATCTTGAGTTTCAGCAGCCTTCCAGACGTCCAGGGGGAGATTCAGAGTGAACACTGGGTGTTCAGATCTGGCACATCCTTTGACTTTGGTCCCAGAATGCACTCTTAGGAGCTTCAAATACAGGTTTTGGTGAGAAAAGGGAACTCCCTCAGTGCTCCTTGCTGATTCTTGCTAGAATGCCAGAGTGAGCCTGGCAGCTGACTGAGAGGTAATAACTTGCCATCCCACCTTTCAAGCTCAGGGGTTGCATTTGGCTGTTGCCTGGGTGCCCGGGTGCCCTCCTCACTTATGAGGTCTTTCCCAGGTGACTCTTCACTCTCTTGCATGGAAACTTCCGCTAAACCAACCTCCTTGGTCTCCAGACAGGAGTTGTCAGCATCCCTGAAGCCAAGGAAGCACCGCTCACCCTCAGGCCCAGACCCCTTGCTCCGTGTAAAGTAACATTTCCATTCTAGTTTAAGTTCATACTGGACATCTCTGATTATAGCACTTCTCATCAGGTTTACCTACCCCCATTCTATTGTAATTGTAAATGCAGATGGAATCACGATTTAAAATGTAATGTTTGAATTCCAAACAACATCAATGTTTCATGGCTACAGTTTAGTGTATTTGCAACAACCCAACAGCACACAAGTGTACCCCGAATGCCGCAGATAACAATGCCAACCCCTGTTCTTCTCCAGGGTGGAAAATGGGGGAAGCAGAGTAAACGTGTAAAGATAACTCATTTTGTATGCAATTCTTTCTTTCTGTACACATTAATTGTGAGATTTGGGAAAAACAAGAGCAGATAAGCCAGGAGCTCAGATGACTGATATTCTGAGCATGGGCTCAGATTAACGTCTCCCTCATCTCTGACTAGCGATGGACTTGAACTGAAACTGATAATTTATTTTCTGGTTTTGAAAACAACATAACCAAATGCCTCCCCCTAGGTGTGTGACCTTTGGGAAGACTCATAACCCGGAGCCTATTTTCTCACCTTTAAATGAGGGCCTGTGGCTACACATTTAGCATTTCTCCTGTGCCTGAAACTCAGTGTGTCTGTGTGCCTGCCTTCTGGGCAGGGATAGCTGGAGTCGGCTAAATCATGCGGGAGTAAGCACCAACCTGCCCACAAGGCAGTTTGCTCAGGCCCCGGCATCTAATGATTGATCAGTGAGTTTCTTCTCCTCCCCTCCCTGTGTTTGTATTATTATTGCTGCTATTATTATTATTATTATTATTACTGTTATTATTATTATTTCGTCTCTCAGGTATAGCAGATTCGATTCTGTAATTCGTTCATAACACACCATCAACAATTGATCTAAGCTTCACCCTTTATGTAATTATTTATCTATTTTTTTCTTCACTTTCTATTTAACTTCCTTTGTTCCATTTAATTCAAGAAAGCTTTAAAACCTACTACGTGTGAAAATTTACTATTTGTGGTAGAGCTTGTGCATGATTCAGAGATGATGTAAACCCAAGTCACCTGGGGATTTACTTAACACCCTGTGAAGCGTCTGCTTACTAGAATTTATGGGAATCATTCTTTAGTTTCAGTATCAGAAATAGCAATAAAATAAAGGAACATCCCCACTGCTCTCATCACAACCGTCCCCTCTTCGTTGCCTTTGTCAGCTCCCCACAGATACCTTCATTTAGATGTATTGGTATGGGCTATTTTATATTCTCTCCTGAATCAAACAAGGTGTCAATAAATAAACAAGCTTCTAGGTGGTCATTTAGTGTATTCAAATGTATGCTTTCATCTGAGAATGAGTCCTATAGAGTCTGAACTAGAATTGATTTAATTTTACCTGTTATCTGACATCCTCTTTGATCTCTGTCTTCTCTGCTTATGTTAAGGCCATTATGAGCTTCTTATGGACTTAATTAATATGTGTGGTATGAATTAATGAGTTGACTCATTGGAATATAGGAGGAGGAACGGAGTCCAGTGTCCTTAGTTGCATAATACACTTGCTTTTTTATCCCATTAAGCTACCTTTAAAGTTAACTAGGCTACTGATATGCTGGTTGGGTTAGTTTCCTGCCATGGTGTTTTGAAACCTAGTTGATTGGAACAAGTATAAAAAGACCACATAGTATTCGGTCAGTGAGGGCAAGGGGAAAAGAGGAAAAAAAACACTCATTTGGGACTGTCAGATTATCACAGGGCTCAGCTCTTTTCCTGAGCCTGTTTGTGGCTGACCGTTCCACTTGGTGGGATTTAAATAAGGTTCATGGTATAAGTCACTCTGTGTTTATAGTATCTTCAAGGCCTCTGATAACTTTCAACAAAGTGAAAATATTTTTTATTTGGGGAAAACATGCTGATCATAATAACAGTCCTTTTCTCTTAGTCACTTTGTCAGGACAGCTCCAAATTCACAGAGAATCATAATAAAAAAATCCCTTCAAATATGCTTTTGTACTGAATTTTCTGTGTATCACAAAGTCTTCCATCTGTGGCATCCAATAAACATTTCTAGAATATAGGCTTTGCTAAGGGCACACGCGCACCCACACACACACGCATACACACACAATATATGCCAAACAGAGCTGTCTCCTTGCTTAAATGATCCTGTCCCCACAAAAAAGGAGGAGCAAACAATACATGCAAATCCATCAGTCCCACTAGTTCTAATTATGCCTATTTGCCATTTTCACATTGTTGACGATGTTCAAAGGTTGTGTGAAGGACAGCTAGCTCTCCCTTTCGTGCACACCTCAAATCAGTGCGTGGACCCAACGGCAAGCCTAGCGATGAGCCAAATGGGCGAATAATGATAGACTTTGGCAGGTGATAATGCCACTGGCTGCTTCCATATAGTAAAAAGCTGTATTCCATGTACAACTTACTGACATGTTTACGTAAGGCACTTGCAGAGCCCTCCATCTAGACTTTCAGACCTCTTCTAGAAAGTTCCTTTGTGCCCACTCCTGCTCACTCACACTCAGTAAGGTACCACTCTTCTGACTTGTATCACCAAGGTTTTTCTTTTTCCTGGCAAGGACTCTTTTGTGTGATCCGAGGACTGGTGCTGCACTAGAGAGTGTGGGGCTGAGCAGCTCACTGCAGGGGCAGACCCTTGGACGGTTCTGAAGAAATGCAGCAACTGCTGGGCAGCTGTGTGATCAGGGGAGCCACCAGCCCCAACTGCAGTGTCCAAAGCCGGTGGAAACCTGGGGCTCCACCTGTCATGGCTCAGATACACAAGGAGGGGGCTGTCCTGAGGTGGGCATGGCAGAGTTTGAGCTCAAGACTAATGATGAAGAAGACATCGGCCTCAGTTTTTAAGGAATCTGACCAGCAGAGAATACAGGTTAAATGGAGAGTGTGTGGCATCTAGCCAGACACCTCTGAACTGTAGGTCTAGTTTTCAAAGAGCAATTAAAGCTGGAGGGGAAATCACATGCAACTCCGAGAAGCCAGACACCCAGATCAAGACCTCCGCATGGAAAGACTGAGGCTTTGGCCAGTTGACCTTAAACAAATAGCCAGATATTTCTCCAGCAAAATGGGTTTATTCTGGAACAACAAGCAACTGCAGTTTGTGACATGCAGTCTAATGGCGAACCACAGGCAAGTCCACAGAAGCACAAAGGACCTGAGGAGCGCTCTGTTATGGGCTTGGGAGGGGCCATCGTAAACGAAGATGCCACTGGAGGAAACTGAAGGTTTGGAGTTTAGTGACTTTCGCTGGCTGAGTTCTGGCGGTCTCCCATCGGCTGAGCTGTTACTGGGCGAGGAGGAGGAATCTTTCCTTCCTCCTGCTGAGGGAGTAACCTCGTATCACTTCCTGTTGGGGATGCAGCAAGGTCTGTCTCTTCCTGTGGGCTCAGTAGTCTGCTCTGAGTGACAGGTACGTGAGAGTTTTCTTTCCCAGCCTCCTGACTCCCATTTTAACTGAGGTTTCTGTTTGTTCATTTCCACACACCCGAGATAAGCAAAAACTGTGAGCGATCACCCACTGCTTGTCTCAGAATACTGGTTTTTGAAGGGTTGTGCGTTCTTTTGAACACACAGCCATGTGCACATGCAGTGCTTTGGGAGAACGTGACAGTATTCTACTGATTATAAATGGTCACATTTAGTCTTTACACATGTAGATCGACAGCAGGAACTAGAGGGCCGCTATGTCCTCCAGACATCACGGGAGGCCGCCTGGCTGTGTCCCCAGGAACCCGCAGCCAGTGATGTGGGCGGACCCCCATCTCTTGGCCTGTCAGACTCAGGGGCTCCCCAGAATCAGGTCTGAGATTGGCATCCCAGACACACGAGGGTGACTGTTTATGTTCCCACAGAATTAACGGTGTCAGTAATGACTCGCCTGCTGAAATGGGTGTATCGGAAATAGGATTTTTTGTGTGAATTTCCTCTCTGCATCAGCATTTGAGAATTTAACCTCTGGCAGGTGGCCCATGAGGACACGGGTCACGTGTCTGTTCCCAGGTGCCTCTGGGAGGTAGCAGGTCTGTTTCTGAGAGTCCCCCCCAGGGTGGCCTCGCGGGAACTTTCTGGTCTTTGGTAAAGATGCTCAGAGGTTGTCTGTGCCTCGAGGGGGAAATAGCATCTCCAGGTAGAACCATTAGGGCATTTCGTCCTGGTGCTTGATGGTACCTCAGGGCTCGGTGGCCATGCCACCTGGTATTCTCATTAAGAGGCCCGGTCATATTCAAAGAGAAGTGGAGGACAGCACAGCATTGGTGACACTGAGGACAGCTGGGCCCTGGAGCTGTCCGATTTAGAGGGACGTGGCTGCAGCCTGATCTATGGAACTTTGTTTATGTTTTTAATTTGACAGCTGCCACTGAGATTCAGATGTCCCAGTGCAAAGCATCTCCTTTCATGTGTTTGCTTTAAGTGCACAGCTAAACTTCTGTTGCCTTTGTTTTATTCCTGGAGTAGTTGGAAGGCACATAGAGAATATGCCTTGCTTAATTACATCTAAGTTCTTTTAAATGAGGGGCATTAGGTAATTGTTGTTGTTTTCTTACTAGCAGCTGATGGAAGCAGTAAGTTATTTTGAAGGTATATTTTTAAATGAGCAAAACAAGGTATGCCTTTTAATAATCAAAGTAGAGTTATGATTTTTACTATATGAATAATACATTCTTATTATATAACACTTGAAGGATATGAAGAAGTATGGGGCAGAAAACAGTGATCTAACCATTGCTATACCCGCAGGTATCTTTGCAATGCCTTTACAAATACCGATTTTTTAAAAATATTTGTTTCGGTCAGTAAACAATAATTAATAGTTTTGTTTGTTTGTTTGGTTTTGGTTTTTTGTTTTTGGTTTTTTTTTAGCTGAGCCATCCTGCCACCTGTTGGCAGCTCAGCGGCTGCTCAGCTCAGGCCGGGCATCGAACCGCTGTTGCTCAGAGCTCAAACTCTTGAGCGAGCTCTTAACCAACTGAGCCACTCGATCGGCCCAACAATAATTAATAGTAATTATTTCAAAGTTAATTTTTATAATTCTCCATTTTTATAGTTGTATAATATTTTGTTTTCTGATATAATGGCTTTAATTATTTCTCCAATGATGGTATACATTTCATTTCCAGATATTGTATGTGTGTGTGTGTGTGTGTGTGTGTGTGTGTGTGTGTAATATATATCTTTATACTTATATCCTTAAGTTCTGGCACTTTTATCGTGTTCATTCTAAACAATGGATTTCTGGGTTGAAGGGCATGTATACTTTTAATTTTAATAACTGTTGCAAGATTTTGTTTCCAAAATATGCTTTAACAATTCACATTTTTTTCTGTCAATATTTGAGAGTATTACTCTTTCCCAGAAAAAAAAAATTCATTATTTATGTTCCCAGTCTGGTTAGCCTAAATGAAACAGTCTTATAATTTAATTTCTATTTATTTATTGAAAATGTAAATATGCTCCTCTGTATTATATTAGCTTTAAAAAAATCATATGTATGTGTGTTTGTATATGGCATATATATTTTATATATTTGACAGATAGTAACCCTTCATCTACCATACAAATTGCATATATATTTTCTAATCTATCGGTTTTTGTTGTCTATTATTTTTATTTATGATGTCCTTTGTCAAGCTGATTTAAACTTTTTTATGTAGTCAACATGTTTGTATATTTTTCTCCTGTTTTGGTTATAAAGGTCTCCTCAACCGGGAGATTTTACATGCATCTTCTATTTCTTTTTTAATTTATACATTTAAAACTTCTAGTTGCTCTGAAATTTCTCTTTGTATGTGGTTTGTGAAGGGGCCCAAATTTATTTCTTTTGAATGGATGGCCTTCTGTGATATTACCATTTATTAAATAATCATTTTCCCCAATGTATTGAAATATCACCTTGGTCACAAATAAGTTCCATATATTATAAGATTGATTTGCAGGCTCTTTCTTATTTGGCAGCACCCGTAAACACCCATGGCTCTCCATAGTATTTTGAGCACAGTGACTGCATAGCGTGTTTTGGTTTATGGAAAGGTGAGCCTAGTTTCAATCAGCTCATCTCTCCTAATTTTCTTACCTTTTCATGGACATTTACTCTTTGGCTTGAGGTATAGTAGCATTTACCTGTTTCAGCCCCCCTCCATAATAATAGCTGGTCTCTCCATTGGGACCTTTACCTTGTTTAAAGGCTTGGTCACGTACCCCAGGTCCTCTTTGCCCCACCAGCACCCCCACTCAGAAGATGCGAGGTGGATATTCAAGTGAGAGGTAACAGTGACAAAGGTGTTCCAACAGCCATGTTCCAGGAGGATTCTTCCTCCCACTGATTATAAAATAGTATAATGCCCATAACCTATTTCCAAAGTTAAAGTCTAATCAGATACCTGTCAATCAAGGGTGAAAGGCAGAGTGCACATGTAGCTTGGCTCCTGTAACAGTGTTTATTGGGGGGAAGTTCCTGGAGATAAGGCAGCACAGCTATTTAGCAAGACTGGGTGTCAGACCCAGCCCCGTGGGGAGTCATGATTGGAGAAGTGCCAGTTCCTTCCCTGGCATAAACAGAGGTGGTGGGCCCGCTCACAGTTACAGCAGCATGGCGTGGTGGACCAGTGGCCACCGTCCTGACACTTAACCTCCACACTCTATCCCTACTGATGAGCTTAAGCACAAGCTGCACAGTCCCCGTGGAGCTCCCAGGTCAGGGGTTACCTGTATGCTGAAGATTAAAGAAACCCACCAATACTGATCCTGTCAAATACCCTTCATGGAAGTATTTTCTACAACCACAGAGCATGAGACTAATGTTCTTTGTTTGATTTGTGTTTACCTATGATTGCCAAGACATTGTCTTATGGTAGTTATGACACAATGGCATAACTATATCCTAAAATCATTCAATACGTGTTCATAGAGCATGTGCCTACTATGTGCCCAGCATTTTTCTAGGTACTGATCATATACTAGATAACAAAAAAGACAATGAACAAAAATACCTGCTCTCATATGACTTTTTAATTATTATGCAGGAAATATAGAAAATAAACCAAAAGACACATAATATTGTAACAGTCATAAGTGGTTTGAGGAACCACTGAGAAAGATAACAGGGAAGGAATGGATGCGAGTGCTATATTAGGGTGGGAAAATTGCTTTGGGATGTGTTTTGAAGTGGAGTCCTAGGGTTTGCTGAAAGACTTGATGTGGCACATGAGAGGGAGATCCAAGCATGGTGCCAAAGATGCAGTTTTGTTATTTACTTTGGCCCTGGTGAGTCTATAGTTCTGTCATTTACTAGGGGCAGGAAGACTGGAAGACTAGCAGATTTTTTGTGTGTTTTGATAATTGACATTTCTATGGACATTTACTTTTCAGAAGCCTAATAGACTTTCAGTGGGCTGATAGGCATGATATGAATTGAGAAATTTTAATTTATCAACATGTAGGTGGTTTTAAAGTTGTGGGCGTCGAGGAGACATTAAACAGGAATAATGGCTGCATGGCTCTGTTTGGAACATTTATCACTTGCCTGGTGCCCACGTCTCCTTGGGGAATGCTCCGGGTTAGGTAGCCTTGACGCCCGCCCCATCTCCCACTGTGGAATCCAGTGGACCCGATTCTCCTCCTCTTGGACTTCTATGTCCAGGAGCAAGCATGAAACTGGGACTCTGACTTGAAGCTTACTCCTGGAACTGGAATCTTCAGCGAGTGACACGGCAACAGGGGACACTGACAGTTTGGGTCTCTGCAGTGACTTTGGTAAAGATGCAGAGTCTTTGGGAGGCATGGCCTTTGGTTATGACTGCCTAGTCTTCTGTCTCCCCAGCTCTCCAGCCTCTCAGCGATTCTGCAGGTTCTCAACACTCCTTTAATGTGTTTCCTTTATGCTGCAAGTCATGGGCTGTTGCTTTTCTGGGTATTTAATTCTATTACATAAATAAGTTTGTAGTTTGTAAAACATAGGCAAAATCATTTAGGGTATTTTAGGTAGACAGAATTCATGGCATGTGTTGAGTACACAATACATAGTTAGCAAGTGGAATATGTGTGTGAAACATAGACAGGGATAGAAGGACCAGGAGATGCCTAATATCCAGAAGACACCTGGGCCCGAGATATATATGAGAGACACACTCTATGAGGTACTAAATATTTAGATGTACTAAATAGATGTCAGCACTTGATCGTCAGGAAACCCAAATTTGCCCATTGACGATGTGCATTCTGGGCCCATGTTTCCTCTGCCCAGAAAACACAGAATTCATGGTGGTTCTTCAGGCTGGTTAATAAGCTACAGCTATGGTCAGGTTGGTCCTGTCCCCGTTTCTCTGTGACAGAGAAGTGTGTGTCATTGGCCCAGGGCACCTTCTGCCCGTGGGTCCCATCCTGATTATATCCATTCTAAATGTATTTAGTTTTCTATTCCTTTCCCTTTTCTTTTCAAACTGTATTTTAAATTGATCCAAACAAAATATGATTCAAGCATTTTAATTTGGCCTGAGAGTCTTTCTGCTCCGTGGATATCCCTGGGATAGCTTGCCTGGAGATGGGCCTGGAGGCTGCCACTGCGCCAGCATGATTTCCCACATGACACGTAAGAGAGCCAGAGCTGGTGTCTGTTCCTCGCGTCTACAGCTCTGATTAATACACTCTTGGCTAAAGAATAATTGGGTTTGAAATTCAGTTCCCGTGAATTCTCTCTCATCTTTCCAGTCAAGTGCTTAGAGCCTCGCAGGGTGAAGAAACACCCCTCAAGAGGTCATGTCATTTCTGAGTTATCTAAGAACACTCAGCACCTCTCCAACTATGTCACAG